TCAATCATTAATTCGTGCAAAACATCAATACATCCCTCTCAATTCGAAATTTCAAGGTAAACTTTTCTAAAAACTCATTTTATCAATTTTTGATCTTAAGGCTAGTTTTGATTAGTTCTAGGATGAACATTATATCGGGTATTGGTTATATGATGATTCTAAACTAGATTTTACAACAAATTTCATCAAAAACACACAATTTCAAAATTTTCTTTGAAATTCGAAATTAAAAAAAATTCGAAAATCATTGATGTTTTTGACTTCATTATATTATTTTTATGAAAACTATATGTATTGCAATATTTCCAATGATATTTTCAAATAGTTTTCAAAACTTTGCCTCTTAGGATTGTTTTAGAGAACCTTGATTATTACGGACTCAATTGAGTTTTGGGATTGATTATTGTGCATACATGTTTTTCAATTTGCAAGTTATCTATTTCTTTCCTTTTTTCGATCTCTAAACCATGTCTAATCCTAAACACCCTAGAACTTCGTCGAGTCGTTCTCGTTCAAACCATCCTCCTAATCTCGTTCCTCCTCCACCTAAATCTCTATTAGGATCTTGTTTTAACATGCATGAGCGTCGTAGAGACGATTTGTACTCTAGGTACAGAAATTCTTTTCAAACTTATAGAATCCGGGAAGAGCGTATTCATTCTCTTCAAGCTATGATAGATATTAACTTTGAATACCTTCCGATTCTTAAAGCTTGGAAGTTTGATAAATTGTTTCAGCTCAAACCTATAGTCTATCAACAATTAGTCCGCATTTTCTATTCCAATGCAGTTTGTATTCAAAACGAAACTCAATGTGGAACTATAGCTATTAGATCTTATCTTTTAGGTCAATATATTAATATTGACCCCGAGACTATAGCTTTCCATTTTGGGTTAGATGATGATGGGATATATAATGAGAATGAAACTGTAGATTATCCCTATGTTCCAAACGCTAGTGTTAGTACTCTACGATCTCATCACGATTGTTTTCTTCATCTGATGATTTCTTGGTGGTTTAGACCATCCGGAGGTAGGTACTCCACTCTTCGTATTAGGGATTTGTGGTGGATGCACTGTCTCGAGAATAAAATCAAAATAAATCTACCCCACATTATCTTCAGTCAACTAGTTGATGTCATAAACATTGTTCTTTCAAAACATGTCGAAACATTAGTTTATGGATGTCTTCTTAGTAACCTCTTTATCAAACTTGGTCTAGACGTCTCTCTCGACAATCCTATCCCACTCCAAAACCAAATCAATCTTACTTCCTTGAAGAAAGCGGATTGGAAACAAGACGAGAAAACCGGTCTTTGGGTTTTTCGACCCGGAAAGCAAACCCCGGGAGCTAGTTCTTCACGAGCTGCTCCTAGCTCTTCTCGTGCTCCTCCTCCGGCACCGGCTGCTGACGATGATCCTGATTTTCAACAGCTTATGCAAGGTATCGACGATCACGTACCAGACGATGGGCCTGCACCGGAACCAACACGACAAGATGATCAAATGTCACCATATTTTCGATCCTTCTTGGAGTCGTTTGATATGAGGTTTACTTCCATGGAGTCTCAGATTACTGAGTTTCAGCGGGAGATGCGTGAACGTATGGACGCGCTTACTCTTGAAGTTTGAGCTCATTATCCTCCTCCTCCCGACCCTCCGATGGATTAGACCTTTTCTTCATGCTTTCTTAGTATTTCAAACTTGGATTGTTTTTTATGTTTTTAGATTGTTAAATGCTTGAATTTATTATGGTTTGGATGATTGGATTTTGAACTTAATATATATATATTTGGTTTGATTGAATTTTCTTATTTTTGCATCATTAGATATAATTATGACCAATTTACCATTTCACATTTGATTTGAATATTGATTATGAACACTAATGGCTAACCTCTCTTTTGATCTTTGATCTTAGCAGTTTAAGCTATATTCAATTAAAATGTTTAATCAATTGGCTATGTTTTTTTAAAGCCTTCTTTCACTCAATTTTTTGAGTCTTTTTGATTTAACAAAAAGGGGAAGAAGTGTTAGTATTAAAAGTTTTAAAGGGGAGAAGTGTTATAGTAAGGGAAGTAATTTCAAAATTGATTTCAAAACTTATTTTCAAAGAAAATCTTAAAATTACTCAAGAGTTTTGTTATATCAAAAAGGGGGAGATTGTTAAAAACATTTTGATATTTCGATATAACAAACTAAGTTTAAATGAATTTTAAGATTTTACAAATAATTTTCTAAAGTATATTCGATTCAATTAATCGAATATCAAATTATTACTCCAAGTCTTTCAATATCATTTTAAACCTTACTAAATGTGTAAAATTGTGTTTTATACTTAAACTATTTTTGAAACAGTTTTCACAAAATATTTTGAACCAAAATCAAGCCTAAAATCAAATTTTCAAAGTGATGCACCGATGCACCAATCCATGCATCGATGCACCATGGAATTAATTGAACATCGAATGCATTTTATGCATCGATGCACATACCATGCATTGATGCACTCAAGCTATTTCAAAACATCGAATGCATTTCATGCATCGGTGCACTCTTAGTGCACCGATGCACTGAGAGTCCAACGGTCAAAATATTTGAATTTTACACTGATGCACCGATGCACCTAGGGTATGCATCGATTCACTGACGCTCCCAACTACTTTAATTAATTGTTTTCACACTTAAACGGCTCTATTGACTCCACTAATCATCCCCAACGTTCAGAATTATTTGAAGGTGTATTTAAACAAGCTTAGAAGTCATTGATCAAAAACAAGAAACAACAATCAATAAGAATCAAGAGAGAATCAAAGAGAAAGCATCAAACCTCAAGTTTGAGCATTTCAAGCCTATTTTTCATTCAATATTCATTTTGCTTTCAAGAACACTACTTATACTCAATTGTATTAATTTTTTAGTTTTCTTTTCTTTGTTCTAGAATTGTGCAAACATTCTACCTTGTGAGGATTTACTTGTAAGTTTGCAAATTTGTAATATTCTCTTTGAGAAAAATTGTTCTCAAGAATTGGGGTATATTCTTGAAGGAGTTGTAAGGTTATCTCTTTGGCCTCAAAAGAAATAACAAATTAGTGAATTTGTTGAAAAATCCTTAGTGTGGATAGCTAAGGTAGTGGACGTAGACTTTGATTGAGAAAATCGAACCACTCTAAATCGTTGTGCAATTACTTTCAATTTTCTACAAAAGCTTCCACCAAAATTTTAATTGCCAATTCACCCCCCTCTTGACCGATTCCATCGATCGATTAACTCAACAGTTAAGCTAACTTATGATCTACCTCCATCCCCGTTATAACAAGTAACATCATCTGGCAATGAAATTATCTGGCCACAACACAACAACAATGACTAGTTCAAGTTCATGAAGGCAGTTTGCTTTTTCTTTTTCTAAATGTTTAAAAACTTTAAACACTTACTAATGTCAAAATTATTATATAGCTAATAATAAAAAGAACTTTTTTTTTGTTGCCCTCCAGTTCCAAGACTTCGCCTGACAATCTGGATCGACTCAAGTCGCACACCTAGCTTTGGTGGGTGAGTCTCCCAGCGGAGATTTTCTGCATACACAAGGACTCAAACCTGAGACCTTACTTAAACGATATCAAACTACTTACCGCTTGAACCAACCCCGTTGGTTAAAGAAGAACATGTAGCTTCATGCTAATATCTTTAATACGAAATTAAGAGATTAAAAGTGTAAATCTCAATAATTACAAATAAAATATTGAAAAAATACATATAGAATATAGATTTTTCATTAGTCCAATCCAGTTTTATATTGGTCCTCCTTTAACAGTTTAACCGGTTTTAAACAGTTTCAACTTATATCCAGATTTTACATAACCACCGGACCAGATTGGCCTCCGCTCCCCAATTTAATCAACAGAACCGGTCAATCTGATCCATTTTTTATGCCTTGGTAAATACAATGTTGCGAACCAATTATGTATCTTAAGAATTGTAAGTATATATATATGCATAGCTTTTCATGCCTTTTTTACTAGATTAAGTGAAACTAAATCCTTTTCAAGAACTTTTTGATAACTTGATATTAACACCAGTACACTACTTATTAAATAAGGTTTCGTCTTAAATTTTGAGAGTGTCCAGCATTCATAAGATACAATTTCTTATCATGCAATTTCACTTTTTTCGTAATTCACCAAAAAGATTTAATTTTTCATAGTGATAATCGTTTCAGTAGATTATTAAGTCTTAAAATTGTTATTTTTTATGCTCAATAAATTTTTGGTATTGTCATACAACAAAAGGTTCAACTCCATCACCAAAAGCTTAATAAAATAAAATAAATAGACCTTGTAAACTCTTTCTAATAAATAAAAAATAAATAAATGAACCAGAATGTTACACCAAAAGCTCATTAATTCAAAATTTAATTTGTTTGACTATTCCCTACAACTCTTAATTGACTAAGATTCAGTTGCATAATTGTATTATTTCCATCTGTTATGTATATAATTGGCTATTATTAAAAAAAATAAGGAAATTGCATTTGGGTTTCAAAATATTTCTCCTGATGAGCCAAAAAGAGAGAAATATTATCGGAAAACAACCGAATTAAGTTTTGGAAAATAGTCTTCGATTCCCCCCAACAAAGTGCGATGAAATCAAGTGGAGAAATGGTGAAACGTTAAATTTGGAATAACTTAAATAACTAAATCTGGAGAAGCTTGGCTTCTAGTTTCAAGAAAAATTAAGCATTTAAAAAGACAATAATAATAAACAAATGTCCTAATTTTCAGAAAGTGACAGAAAAAGAGTTTCTAAATTAATTTTATCTTATCGTATATGATTATATGTAAGACTAAAAGCGGAAATAAGGGAGAAAAGGAATGGAAAACATGAAACAAAATTAATGCAGCAGTAAAAGAAAAACTAGAAATAGGGAAATTAATCACTCGCTTTATTCTAGATCCATGCATAAATCTATGAAGGAGAAAAATTAAAGAGAGAACGAACCTTTAAACCTGGAATCAAGATCCAGATCGGATTGATCTGAAAAATTAAGAAACGGGGGCAACCAAAATAAAGCGGGAAGGAAGAGGGCAAGAGAGAAGAGTGTGACGAGTAAGCACCGAAGGCTAAACAGGGATCGTGTGGATCCACAGGCAGCAAATCTGGAGCTTAAGCTGGAAATCGAAGCGGCCGTAACGGCGGCGGCGGCGGATTCCCCCGGTATCTCACTGTTAACACTTGAACTCAACCTTAGTTCTTCCTCAAGTTTCCCCATAATGCCGCATACGCTTCAGGCGGCATTCCCTTGCTCATTATCTGCTTCTGGTTTTGCTTTTACTGCTCCCATTTTTTGGTCCTTCACAACCCAACAACTCAGGTTTTACTCATTTCTTTTTCCTAATTTGTTAAGAGAGACAATAGAAATTTGGCTTTCTTTGTTTTCACTATTTTTTAAAATATTATTATTCACGGTAAAAGACAAGAAAATATGTGTAGGGTTTGAGGATAAAGGAGAAAAGAGTGAAGCATCTCTATCTCCACATTGACAACTGGGGTCTTGAAAAAACAGACCAATTAAATAATTAATTTATTAAAGGGTAAATTACACATATAATCACTCATATTTAAATAAATTTTCATTTTACTAAAATTCTAAAAATAGCAAATTGTCACTAATATTATCATTTTGTAACAAAATGATCACTCCACCATCATCTCTATTAAATTGATGACATAATAACTTTAACAAAACTATTAATATTTAGTTTTACTTCTAAACTACGATAAAACCATTAAATATATATTTAAATAATAATTTTATATTTAACTTACTTCAAAAGCTGTACAGAATTTGGTGACTACTGTTAATGCTGCGAGTTTCTTCTACTGCTTTCCATTCTTATTCATTGACTGCAAATTTCCTCCAGTTGTTTGATCAACGAGAAGATTGACTGCTATTTGAAACTTCCAGAAATTGTTTGAAGATTTTATAGTTTTGCAGAATCATTAAATAGAAAAGTTTGATCTCTTCTTAGGGTTTCAGCAAGGGAACTTGGGAACGGTGACGCTTGGGATACTCTGTGTCTTTTGCGGTTATCTCATTTTTTTGCATAATTGGAAAAAAATAAAAATTTAAAAACTTTTGAGTGTAAATTAGATATAAAATTATTGTTTATGGATCCATTTGATATTTTGGCAGTAGACTATGTATAAAACTAAACATAAACATTTTTGTTAATACCATCGTGTCATCAATTTAATGAGATAAAGGTTGAATGATTATTTTATTACAAATCAATAATATAAGTAATCAGTTTGTTACTTTTGAAACTTGTGTGGGAAAATAAAAATAAACTGAAATATTGGTGACCATTAATGTAGTTTACCTTAATTTAAAATTGAAAATGGAGGAAGACACGGGCTCGGTGCTCACTTTTTCCTCTTTTCATTCTAACTTTCTGCCGTGTTACGTGGGATTGTTAATTGACAGGTTGTCGCTCAGAAATTAAAATTTTACAAGTAATTTTAAATTGATAACATATGTTTCTCTTATTAAATTTAAAGTTTATAAAATTAATTAGTTACTTTTTATAGATTTTTTTTCACACACCTTTTATATAATAATAATTTATTAAATATAAGGATTATAGTTTCAAGGATAGAAAGTAACATATTTCTCTTAAATGATTTAAATTTGTGTAATTTGATTTATAAATCTGCTTGAATTTATTCATATTTAAAATTAGATTTAAAATGTCGATATTTCTAAACTTTAGCTCTCTCTTTTTTTTTTCTCTCATTCTTTTTTCTTTTTTATTTGATCTTTGTTTAGTCGGCGACAACACCAACTTAATGTTGGTTGCCGAGCGCCAGAGAATATTAGTTCTCTTAATTTTTTATATTATGTCTTTATTTTTTTCTTGAGTCTTTAATTTTGAATAAGCATCTTTGTCCTTGTGACATGATTTTTCTCTGCTCTTATGGCACGATCCTCATATTTTTCGGTACTTTTTTTTTTGCATACCTTTACAGTCATTTTGGTTCTCGCACAAAAACCATCACGGCATTTATTTTCTAATTGGTTAATTAGTGGTCACGTATAGCCAAATCCATCTTTTAGCAAAAGGTTATTTGTCGATATAAACAGAATTGTGTAGCAAAGCAACTTGCTAGATTATTTGGTTCACTCTTCACTTCTTTCTCGCTTTGTCAAGCGTCTCATTCGACAAAGACAAGGAGTTTGTATGAAGTTTATTGGGTTTTGATATTGATCGTCATTATCAATGAAAGATTTTAATTTTCTTCGTATTTTTAGGTTTATTATTTACTTTTATTTGAGTATTTTGGTGACTATTGTCTCCAAATATATCTATTTATTTCGTTGCGTTGTAATTTTGATTACTTTCATAATTAATAAGATCCAGTTGTCATTGTTCAAAAAAATAGACTTATAATTTATTAAAAAAAATTGAATGTAAATGATCTTATCATGTGATCTTATTGGTAAAAATGAGTGTTGTTATTCTCTTTAAGTGAATGAACACAATGAAGACAAATGGAGTCATGAAATCTCAAAATTTGAAAAATTATAATTTGGACTTTTTAAATTTTTAAAAATTTTTAATTTATCTTCAAAATATTTTTAAAAATTCATATTAATTTTTATTTTTTTAATTTCTTAATTAAACTTTTCCATTATTTATTTTAAAATTCTGATTAAACATCTCAAAATTTCAAAAATTTTAGTTATACCGTAAACTTTTTTTTAAAAAAAATAAATTGAACCCTTCAAATTTTTTGAAAATTTTCATTTAAACCTCTAACATTTTAAAAATTGTAAGTTGTCCCCAAAATCTATCATCAAGTTTCACCACTGTTATCCCTAAAGGTCACAGGTTCATGTAATTGTGTCTGTTGGGTGTGTGTTGTCAATATATTAAAAAAATTATGAACATATATTACCTTTAATCATCACAGACTATTAAAAAAATTGAAAGCATATATTATCTTATAATCATATTAGAATGAATAAAAAACGATTCACTAAATATTAATAATTTAAATTTATCACAATTATAATATATATTTAATTCAAAATAAATGTTTAAATTATTTGTTTTATAATTTTAAGTGTATAATTTGACAAAATATTTATTTATCGTTTTCTCCATTTTCATTTAAGGTGTTTCACTGTTAACTATTATTAAAAAAATCAACATTTAAAAACATGACACATGACGGTTTTTATAAAATTTTGAAAATTTTACTTAAATTTTAAAAATTATTATTATTTAAAAACCCAAAAATATCTCTAAAAACTCAAAAGATAATTCAAACCCCTAAAGGTCACAGGTTCGAATAATTATGTCTGTTGGGTTTGTATTGTCAATATATTAAAAAAATTATGAATAAATACTACCTTTAATCATCACATACTATTAAAAAAATTAAATATAAATATTATCTTATAATCATATTAGAATGAATAAAAAAAGATTCACTAAATATTAATAATTTAAATTTATCACAATTATAATATATATTTAATTCAAAATAAATGTTTAAATTATTTGTTTTATAATTTTAAGTGTATAATTTGACAAAGTATTTATTTATCGTTTTCTCCATTTTCATTTAAAGTGTTTCACTGTTAACTATTATTAAAAAAATCAACATTTAAAAACATGACACATGACGGTTTTTATAAAATTTTGAAAATTTTACTTAAAATTTTCAAAATTATTATTATTTAAAAACCCAAAAATATCTCTAAAAACACAAAAGATAATTCAAACACTTGAGTTTGGTTTACGGAATGTAAGATTACTAGTGGAAATGTAAGATTACCAGGGAATAAGATTATTGGGAATATTATATTTTGTGTTTTGTTGACTTAGCAGGAATGTAAGATTACCATGTTTAGTTAAAAGAATAAAAGATTATTGGAATGTATATTTGACCAAATTGTTCTTATTATATATTTATTGTTTTTAACAAGTTGTAAAATATTTATATATTTTCTTTAAAAAATTTAAATTTATATAATTTATATAATTTTTTTACAAAATTGAAAATAAAAAAAAAGTTTAATGAAAGGGTAAAATTTTATTTTAACCCTTGAATTTCATATAAAATTTTAATTATAGACTTTTTTTGTAAATCTAAAATAGTTTAAGAATAAATTTGTAATTTACCTTCGTAGATTTTTTATTATTCAATGATAGAAGAATGATATTTTTGAAAGAAAAAAAAAATTAAGGACATTTTAGTCCAAAATTCCGGTAATCTAACAATACCTAAGAAAATGGAGATAATGATATTCCCGGTAATATACCCAAAAAAATCCATTATTGGTAATCTTACATTACCGGGAATGGGATTCCCGGGCTAACCAAACTGGGGAATGTGAATTACATTCCAATGGAAATCTCACATTCCCTCATCCAAACACCCCCTCCTAAAGGTCACAGGTTCGAGTAATTGTGTCTGTTAGGTGTGCGTTGTCAATATATTAAAAAAATTATGAACAAATATTACCTTTAATCATCACATACTATTAAAAAAATTGAATGTAAATATTATCTTATAATCACATTAAAATGAATAAAAAACGATTCATTAAATATTAATAATTTAAATTTATCACAATTATAATATATATTTAATTCAAAATAAATGTTTAAATTATTTGTTTTATAATTTTAAGTATATAATTTGACAAAGTATTTATTTATCGCTTTCTCCATTTTCATTTAAGGTGTTTCACTGTTAACAATTATTAAAAAAAATCAACATTTAAAAACATCACACATGATATTGTTATAAAATTTTGAAAATTTTACTTAAAATTTTAAAAATTATTATTATTTAAAAACTCAAAAGATAATTCAAACCCCTAAATTTTTTAATTTTTAATTTTATAATTATGGTCGACTATCATCGAACAATAACCCATCAATCATCTACCCATCCACCTCTAACCCTTGCGCACCAATTAACCCCTTGATATCTCTCCATCTTTTAAATTCTTAAACTTAAATATATAGATATTAATATTTGAACTTATACTCTAATTAAAGAAATTGAAAGATGATGATATAAATGATAAAGAGTCAAAATTCAATAGTGTAGTTTATTTTTCTTTATTATTATTATTTTTTGTACTTTAATCGGTTTAAGTTTCATAGAATTTAACTACCATACTCAAATATTTTGTAGGATGATGGAATTGAGCTTGTCATGGGCTATGAACTTGAGTCCAAAACATTGGTACAAGCGTCGTTTGGACTTGAAGGTTATGAGGGCGTGACAAACTCAAACACTTTTAATCCAAGTAATTCTATATTATAATCTCAAAGGGATACAAAGAAAGGCA